CTCTGCGGCTTCGGGGAAGCCTCCGGGGAGGAACCGGGGAAGAAAAAAAGAGGGCGGCGACACGCGGAACGCGGCGACACCGGTGGCGCCGAGGCTCGGGAGGCGCAGCGAGCACGAACATGAGCGGGACCCTCCCTGGCGTCGGCACGACCAAGCGCCCCTGGCGCCCAGGAGTCGGATCGCCCGCGACGGCGGCGAGGGCAGCGGAGGCTCGCGCAGATGCGAGAAACAGCCAGTTCATTGAACACAGAGGCTCGCGCAGAGGCCAAGGCGAGCGCCAGATCATCGAAGACAGAGGCTCAGGCAGATGCGAGCACCATGGGACGTCTTCCCCTCTTTGCGCACCCGGCGCACCTTCTGCTTTTCCAGCTCCGATGCGCCAAGTGCACGGGCCAGCACTGGGCGATAGGGGAGCATCCTGGGGCATCCTGGGGAAGCTTCCTGGGAGACCTCACGAAGCGTTCCACCAGACACCCCACGAAACATTCCACGAGACAGCCCACAAACCATTCCACGAGGCACCCCGCGAAGCACACAGATTCCAGGCCCCAGGAAAGTGGCCTCCTGGGGCCCTCCTGGCGTTTCCTGGGGCCTCCTGGCGGCTCTTGTGCACTCCGAGGGCCCTTCTTGGACGTCAAAAAACCCACCCCCCTGAATACATAACCACCCCGACACGCGAAGCCGTTTCGCAAACGCGCCCCAAGAAGGAATCGAACAGGGCAGGGCTGTGTAGCAAACGCCCAGGGGTGTTTCTAATAAACGCTCAGTGTCCGAGCCGGGTGGTTTTACTTCCTCCCCTCACTTCTGGGGGCCTCCTGGGCTCTCCTTGGCTCTCCTGGCGCCTTCTGGGGCATCCCAGGCCCCTGTAGAGGCTGCGCCAGCGCAGCCAGGCTCCTGGAGAGGAGAAGTGCACATGCGCCCTCGTAATTCGTGCCCTTCTTCAGGCTAAGCTCCTGGAGAGGAGAAGTGCACATGCGCATTCGTAATAATTCGTGCCCTTCTGCAGACTCGTACCCCTTGGAGCCTCCCTGGGCCGTCCTGGAGCCTCCCGAAGTCTCCTGGAGCCCCCATGGGGCCTCCTGGCCATGCCTGGAGAATTCCCTGGAGCCTCCTGCCGCCTCCTGCGCCGTCCTGGAGGTCTCTGGGACAGCCTGGTGGCTCCTGGGGCATCCCGGGGCACGACAGTCCCTGACCTCTATCACACTATAGTTCGAGCTCCCAGAGGCCCACCACGACGACGAAAAGCGAAGTGCACAATACCTCCGGGAGTACACAACCAAATCTGGCACGCGAGCCACTTGCAAATGCGTGAAGGACCCACCAAATAATCTGAAATCATCATCCGCAAGCCTTTGCTTCGAGCAGGGGGGACGCAGGGGAAAGCACGAGAGGAGGAGACAGGCATGGAGGAACTGGGTGAGACGGGGCGGACTCAAACCCGACAGCTCGTTGAACCAACGATTTGCGCCCGAACGTGTCGCGACACTGCTGCTACGGCGATGTCGCTGGAACCGCGTGGTCCCATCGGCCCGCAGGGGCACTACGATTCGAGCCCCCGGAGGCCCTCGGGTCGAACACTGTACGCTCCCCTCCCCTCGTCCCCCTCGCTCGTAATTCGCTTCGGGCGCGCGCGCATGCGACGGTAGCGCAAGCACCACCGTTTTCGGCCACGCGTCGCTCCGGGGGCCAGCGTGGGGGCCAGGGGCGTAATGAAATAAGAAGAGGCGCCATAAAATCTGGGGAAATATCATGGCCCACGCCATGATATCCACCCCCCCTAGTCGTCACTCCCTCTTTGCCGCCCCCGATGAAATGCGAAAGGCACACACCTGGCATGAGATGCCCACCACAATGGGCAGGGCGGAGGCCGGGATAGAATGGGAAGAGGGCTAACACGGCGCCAAGTGCCGCTTGGGCCGCCCAGAAATAGTAGATCTCGGCGAGGCTCTGCTGGGAGCTCCGAGATAGTCAGCATGTGGGTCGAAAGCCACTGGCATGGCCATACATATACATGCATGCATACACACGTACATATATACACGCACACGCATGCGTACAGACGTATAGACATACGTACATACGTACACACACACACACATATACAGACAGCCAAACGGACAGACGGGCAGGCCGGCAGGCAGGCAGACGGACAAACGGACACTTGTACACACATGTATACATACATACCTTATCATATAAACACAAAAGTATGCATAACTGCATACACACAACCACACAAACATACAAACACGCCTACATACATACACACATAACTGAATGCATACGTATATACGTACTTACAAACATAATTGTATACATGCAGTCATGAACCCTTGTACGCATGCGCACATGCATGCATGCATGCATGCATGCCTACACACGTACTTGTATGCACACGCATACACACAACCATACAGACATACACACTTACATAGAAACACATGCATACATGTATGCATGCATGCATACATACATGCATCCATATATGCATGCATGCATACATACATGCATACAACCATGCTTGCATCCATGCATGACTGTAGAATCCAACAATATATCCACCAATGCATGCATACCCACATATGTGCCTATATACATGAATGTATGCATGCATGCATGCATGCATACATGCATGTATACAACAAAACTTGCACTGCCATACATACATACGCACATACATACACGCATGCATGCATGCGTACATACATAAATGACTGCGTACATACATACATGCACACATACATGCATAGTTAAATACATACATACACATACATACATACAGTCATATACACATGCATGCATGACTGCATGCATTCATACATATATATTTGTACACAATCATGTACACACATATACGGACATGTGTACATATACACATGTCGACATACATACATGCAAGCATGAATGCATCCATACACACATGCGTGCATACACACATGCATATGTACATACCTACAGCCATTCATACGTGCATATATACAAAACTATAAGCATACTTACATCCACATGCATACATACATACATGCATGCATAACTATATACATATATGCATTCACACATGCATACGCATCCATACACACACATACATGCATACAGGATTGCATCAATACATCAATCCGGCCTTCCATACATGCATACATACCTGTATGCATACACATACACACATAATGTATGTACATGCACACGTGTATACATATATGAATACCCACACACACACCTCCGCCGAGTACCGCTGGCCAGGGCTGAAAAGGCGTGTGAGTCATCTGGCTGTCCTCCTCCCCCTTTCCCCCTCCTGGAGGGGGTCAAACATGTCCTTTGAGGGGAGGGGTATACGAGCTCGCTTGGGGCGTCCGACGGCCCAGAGTAGCCTTAGGTCGGGCATGTCCCCCTACAGGCGGATGTTCGACGAACAACAAAAATGCACCAAAAAATGCCCCCAAATAATCAACAAATAATACAAAAATCATCTTCAGACTATATTTGAACTATTTTTGAATATTTCTCCTGTAAAGGGACGTGCCCGACGTAAGCGTAGCCCTATGACGGTCCAGAATGCCTTCGAAACGACTCACGAATCCCCTGAAACGCCCCATGAGTGGCTTCCGGGAAGGCCCCGCGAGGCAAAAAGCATCCCAATCCCAAGGGAACACGTATATGATTAGCATGTCCGTCTTCTGCCTCTGTTCTGAATCCCAGACGGCCCAAAGTGCTCACAAGATGGTCCCAAGACGGCCCATACGGCCCCCAAGAGACCACAAACACTACCCCAGAGAGCCCAAAGACGGCCCCAAGGGGCCCCGTTAAGACGGTCCAGGGGAGCCCCAAGAGAGCCCTGACAGGCGCCAGAGGGGGAATACGAACTGACATTTCGAACCTTTCCCTCAAAGATGGTCCGAAAAGCCCCCAGAGGCCCCCAAGAAGCTCGCCTGAGGCCCCGAAGAGGCCCCCCAGATGCATCCAACAACCACCGAGACACTAAGGAAAGAAAGAATTGAGCAGTTTGCGGAGCCTTCCCACACACCGTGGCCCCACAAACCTTGAACCTCTCTCCCAAGCTGGAGACCAACACGCGGATGAGTCCTCGACGACGACCGAGATGGCCTCAAAACTGCCGAGAGGAAGCCCCAAGGCTCAAGAACCGTCCCACTCCATCTGAACAGATGTTTGGGAAAGATTCGCATACTTGATCTTTACAGCGTCCATGACGGCTCAAAAGGTCCCCAAGATGGCTCCAAGACGGCCCAGGCAGCCCCCAAGAGAGGTTCAAAACAGCCGAAGAGGCGTAACTTCCGAGCCCTCCGCCAAGAGGACCCTCCACATAGCCAGCGACGCCCCAGGACGCCAACAAGAGGCCCCAACGTTTTCGTCCTTTTTCTGAGTGACGGCGGAATGGCGTAAGCCTCTTGAATTCACTCAGCTCCGCCCTGATCACCAATGCTCCCAGCTCAGTCCAGGTGCAATTATAGTACAGTGCAGACCGTGATTGTGGATCCTCTTTTCACCGTTCGGTGCCCGCCCGCTGACGTCGTTGCTGCAGGCTAGACGAAGCGTGCTTGAGCCAAGGACCACACAGCCAAGTCGCCTAGTAAGGATGAGCCACTTCCAAGGTTACCCTTGCACCTTTGCCCATTTGGCCCATCCTTGGCGACTTTGGCTGGTTAACCCTATTCGAAAACGCCACCATGGCACTTCAAGGCCGTTGCAAACTTACCGCAGATCCTCGGCATCCTTGATAGTGCACCCTCGGCCGTGCTGTCATATGCATCGCCTGCCAATGGCGACGCACTATTTTCTTTCAGACAGCCGTGCTGCCCGGCCAGTCCGGCGACAGCATGGAAGGCTGCAGTGCAAACGGCCCTAACAGACCCAGAATGCACGCAGACGATCGCACGCCAATCAAGCCTACAGGAACGACCTACTGCTAGTAAATGCAGATCGTTAACCACGAACCTCATGAGCTGCGCGTCAGAATATCCCGTGCAGGCGCATCGTGTTGGACATCACAGCTTCGTATACTCTGTCTTCGACCCAGAACTTGTCGAGGTATCTGTGCCCTCCGTCTCGGAATGGGTGGTCGTCTCAGAATGGCTCGCCGACCTCTTGGCCGCACGTCCCCGGACAGCAACGACGAACAGAACGGTGGCTGTAACAGCGGCCAGCGCGCCTTCCAGCACCCAGAGGGCCCAGCAAGGATCTGCCAACACGAGAGCGCGGCACGCCACACAGAAAACGAAATCCACCGACCCCCGCTTGCCGGGGGTTCAAAAGCGTGTCGGAGCCCCCCTTCCCCCTCCCCAGGGGACAAACATCTTCCATTCTAGGGGGAGCAACGTACATGTTTGACATGCTCGTTGTGCTCTCTCGGGACAGCAATTCAGACTGCCCAGGGGCCCCGAAGAATCGTCCCAAGACGGTCCATGAGGCCCCAAAGAGGGCCGCAGGACAGCCCAACAAAGGCCCAAGAATACCCCAGGGCCGCGAAGACGAGCTAAGTGAGCCTCAAGAGGCGCCCATGAAGGGCAATGCGAACTCACATCTCGAATCGTTCGCGCCGTGATGGCCCCTTCAGAGAAACCCAGTGGCACTCGAGGCGCCCCCAAGAGGCCCCCAGAAGGCTTCCAAGCGGCCCCCGAGCGGCCCCCAAGAGGCCCCCGATCGGCCCCCAAAGACAATCGGATGCCCCGAGCAGCCCTCCAAGGGGCCCCTGCGAGGCAGCCCAGGATACCCTCATAGGCATCCCCGCGGCTCCTGACCCACAGGCCAGGCTCGGTGGCACGACTCTTGACGAGTTCACTGTTTATTGGTATGGGGGTCTGCGGACTGGCGTAAGCCTCTGGCATAAATGCCAAAGCACACAGAATAGAAGAGCGTGTGCTGCCATACATGTGGCATCTCGGCAAGGAAAGGGTAGACCCCAAAACCAAACCACAACTTGATTCCGTTGAGGGTCAGCGCATAGGTCAGGCCATAACTCATACAAAAATATAGCGTTCCAGAAACGCTCAAAACCTCGTCTGGCAAGACATGCCTGGTCGTGACAAGCGTCAGGCCACCAAGTGCAGCGTATGGAAGATGGCCCCAGTTCATGAGGTTGAACTGAAGGCAACATACCATGCCAAGCCACTCAGCAGAGGCATGGCCGCGATGTAGCATCCATTCGTGCACCCAGGACAAACAACTTCAGCAACAAGTGCGACCCCGTACAACATGCATGCGATGTGGCACTGCACCGTCAAATACATAAGCTTCCATGGAAACGGGGACCATCCTTTGCAGACGCTTGTAAACGCCAGGCCGAAGTCGATGCGACACCCGTTCGCGCCCTGAAGCAGGAAGGCAGCAGCGGCGACCAACTCACAAGATGGGTCCGCCATATGCCGCCCCAAGATGGCCTGATCCGCGCCAGACCGCGGCGGAATGCCTACCGAGCCTGCTGGTGCTGTCAGGCAGATCCCTCCGCCCACAGCCTCGCTCACAACCGCGAGCCGGCTGCTTGGAAGAATGCGCTGGCCCCCTCGTGCTGGGACTGATCCAAGCGGCCAGAGGGCCGCTGCTCCTGGCGGAGCAACGAGGTGGGTATAGCCTGGGTGTACTATGCAGTGGGGCCACGCGCAGGCTGAGCGTGTACTGAGGGTGATATCATCGTCCTCTTCCATGATCTCGTCCTCCTACAGCTGCTGCTATTCTCCGTCACCCTCCATCTCCCACATCCGCTCTGACGGCCCGTCCTTTGGCAGAGCTACCGGAGACGCAGAGAGCAACATGTGTATACATATGTATGTTTGTATTATACACACATACATGCATACATACATACATGCATGCATGCATGCATGCATGCATTCATGCATGCGTGCATGCATACATACATAATTACATACATACATACATACATACATACATACATACATGCATGCATGCATGCATGCATACATACATACATACATACATACATACATACATACATACATACATTCATACATTCATACATACACATGTACATGCATGCATACATGCATATAGACATACAAACATACATACATACATACATGCATGCATGCATGCATACATACATACATACATGCAGGCATGCATGCCTGCATGCATACCTACCTACCTATCTACCTACCTACATACATACAGACATACATATATACATATATACATGCACACACCACACCATACCATACCATATCATTCCATGCCATGCCATGCCATGCCATGCCATACCATACATGCATCCATCCATACATACCTACATACCTACATACCTACCTCCAAACCTACCAATATACATGTATGCCTACATGCATACAAACATACATGCATGTATAGATACGTATATACATCTATGCATGCAAGCATACATACATTCATAGGGCCCCAGGGATACCTCTACGTTCCGGCGCGCTCCCGAAACAACCCCAACGAGCCCCAAGACGGTCGACGACGAACCCAAAGGAGGCGTCATACCCCAAAAGAAAGATCGCTCCAAAACGTCCCATGAGGCCTCCAAGACTCCCAAGAGAGCCCAAAGAGTCAGAATTCAATGATTTTCAGTTGGTTTGTGGGGGAGTTGGGAGTTCCCACTTTTCGGTTTCCCGATGCATGGCGCGACAGACCTCCAAGAGGGCCCCAAACCTGCTCATGACATGAGGGCTTCCAGACAGTCCCGACAGGGCCCCGGGGGGTCCCAGGAGGTCCTCAAGAGCCCCCGAAGAGGGCTTCTGAGACCGCGGCGTTGCATCTCAGACTGACTTCGCGAAGTGCGGGTGACGGCGCCGCGCGGCGACCCTCCCGGCGAGGCCGAGCGGACCCGAGAGGTCGGCGCGTCGCCGGTCTCCAAGAGTCCTTTTTTCCCACCGCGCACCCGACTGATCCGCTGCCCCTCCAGGGGGCTATCATGAACGCGCGAGAACGCAACAAACTCGAACCACGGGTGACGAGATGCCGGCAATATGCACCGAGCGCACCCGGAGTCGCGCGAGGGCCAAGCTGCAATAGGTGAACCAGCACGCGAGACCTTGGCTCGTGCAGAAACTTGTGGCGATGCTTGCGCAAGAGTCCCTTTTGTCCCGGGGCCCCTCTGGCAGCGGCGCGGCCCTCTTCCTCCCTCCCCCCCGCGGCCGCCCTCCCCCCCCGCGCACCCCGGCCTGGGAGGCGCCGCCCGAGCGCGAGTACGGCCCGCTGCTCGGCGGGTCCTTGGCCTCCTGGCGGGGGCGGCGCAGGGGGAGGAGGAGGAGGAGGAGGAGGAGGAGGAGGAGGAGGAGGAGGAGGAGGAGGAGGAGGAGGAGGAGGAGCAGCGGCGCGAAGAGCGCGAAGAGCCTGCCGAGGGGGCCACCGGCGCCGCGCAGCGCGGCGGGGGGCCGCGGCGGGCCCAGGGGGCCACGGCGGCGGGCCGCCGAGGGCCGCCCGCCAAGGGCCGCCGGGGAGGCGCGTCGGGCCGAGGGCGCGGCCCGCGCCTCGCCGAGACGCCTCCCTCCTTCCCTCCCCCTCCTTCCCTCCCCCCGTCTCCCTCCTCCCTCCCCCCTCCCCCCTCCTCCCCTCTTCCCCTCCCTCCTCCTCCCCACTCCCTCCTCCCCTCCTCCCTCCTCCCTCCTCCTCCCCCCCCCCCCCCCTTCCCCTCCTCCTCTCCCCCGTCCCCCTTCCCATGCCTCCCTCCCTCTCCCCTCCTCCTCCCCTCCCCCTCCTTTTCCCCCTCCCTTCCTCCCTCCTCCTCCCTCCCTCCTCCCTCCTTCCCTCCCCCCCTCCTCCCTTCCCCCTCCTCCCTCCTCCCTCCTTCCCTCCACAATTACTCAATATGAATACTACTCTCCCTCTTCCCCTGATGACGGTTTGAATGTGTCCGACCCCCCCCGCGTATTGTTTATTGTAAACACAGGTTTCCCCGGAGTTGGGTTTTCGCCTGCATTTGTATTCCAAAATGCTGCTCTCGCTGAGGCGCCGGCCTCATTTTCGGGCCCCGTTCGTTCCGAATCGTGCTCCCGCTGCAGCGCTGGCATCATTTCCGCCGGCGCCCGGGCTGCACGCCCGAGCCGGCGCCCGGGCCGGCCCTCTGGCCGCCGCCGGAAAATCGAGTTCCGAGGCGGCGCCGAAAAAAAGCCATTCTAATACGCATTTTTCTTTAAATTCTGAATTTCTATTTCCAGCGCCCGGGAGGCCTCCCGGGCCGATTCCGACGCCCGGGCCGGCGCCCCAGCCGGCGCCCGGGCCAGACGCCCGAGCCGGCGCTCAGGCTGGCGCCCGGGCCGGGTCCCGAGCCGGTTCCAGCCGGCGCCGGAAAATCGAGTTCCGAGGCGGCGCCGAAAAAAGGCCATTCCAATACACATTTTTCTTTTGAAAATGCTGAATTTCTGCTTCTGGCGCCCGGGAAGCCTCCCGGGCCGATTCCGGCGTGCTTCCGCTCGTTCCGATGGCGTCATTTCCGCGCTTCCGCTCGTTTCGACTCGTGCTCCCGCTGCAGCGCTGTCGTCATTTCCCGTGGCATGCCACGGCATGCAATGCAATGCTCGGTTGATACTACGCTTCGCGGTGCTCTTCTACGCCCTGCCATGCCGCGCTCTACAATGCATCGCATACCCTTTCGGGATCATTGCCCTGCTCGACATCCGACTGTGCGAGTAGAGAGGGGATCTGCGCCATGGTAAGGGATGGGAGGGAGGGGTAGGATGTCAGATATGACGCGAGCGCACCTAGCTTGTGTGCGGGTGTTGCTAGAAGTGCCACTGGCCCAAGGTGCCCCAGAATCCCCAAGGAGTCCCCCAGGGCCTGTAGAGCACCTCTCACGAGGCCCAGGGGGAGCCAGGGGCTCCCAGGACGATAAAATCCGGGTGTGATCTCTGAGATCAGGCGGCTCTGAAGGACGTTCGAGGGTTTCTAGAAGGTGCCACTAGCCCAAGGTGCCCCCAGCTTTTCGCCCCTTTTTGGACCTCCTGGGCCCTCTGAGCCTCCGGACAGCCAGTCGAGCCCGCAAGCGCCATCTCTGCTTCCGCTTCGTGGGGCGTGGCCAAGCGTCCTGGGCGACGCACGTCCGAAAACCTCGGCTGCGCATGCGAGACGGCGTTGATTGAGCACGGACCTACCGTCCCGGCATTGTCATAGGCCTAACACGAAATCTCCCCAAAACAACGCACAAAGCGTGCCCTTAGAACGCAAACCCTGTCTCCGGCCTGTCCACCTACAGGTCGACTCAGCACGGAAAATGAAAAATGGCCCGAACGTGCTCAAACATGGCAAACAACTGCTCAAAACATCATCCCCAGACTATGTGTTTAGCAGTTCTACGTGCATGTTCCCTCTGTAGAGAGACAGGCCCGACTTAACAACAGGCTCTTCGAACACTCCTTCGCAAGCAGGGAGGCCAGCCAGGACCCCCGCGCCGCCGCTCGAGCTCAAGGCCGCCGCCCTGCGCCCTTCGAGGCCTGCGCGGGCCGAGCACGCCGCCAACTCCCCACCTGCCTCCTTCGGGCGAGACCAACCAGGCGAGGGCGCTCCTCCCTCCTCCTGCTGCTCCGCCTTCTCCTCCTCCTCCTCCTTACTCCTCCTTACTCCTCCTCCTCCTCCTCCTCATCCTCCTCCTCCTC